ACACAATTTAGTTACTTTGTAGTTACCTCCAGTTTGATGTCATATAAAAGCATTTAAGTTTTGCCACTTCTCTGGGTCTTCATTTCTGTATGAGGGCTCCCTTGTCACATAAAACTTACATGAAGTAAATCTGTATGCTTTTCAGACTTACATCATTTTAATTCAGAGGGCCCCGAAGACCCTAGGAAAGTGAGGTAAACGTCCGCCTGTCCTATAATTTCTTTCGATGGGTGTCTGTGAGGGGTGGAGGTGTTCAGGGGGACCAAGCCAGCAGCTGTGTCACTGTATACATTCTTGGCTATTTTTATTTCATTATGATTCAGAGTTAAAACATTTTTTTTTTTTTAAGACATTAATGTGGTCTGGCCGGTGTGGCTCAGTGGTTGAGTGTAGTCCCATGCACCAAGAGGTCGCTGGTTTGATTCCCCGGTCAGAGCACAGGCCTGGGTTTCAGGCTCCATCCCCAGTAGGGGACATGCAGGAGGCAGCCGATTGGTGTCTCGCTCCTTCTCCCTTCTCTCTCTAAAGCTCAATTAAAAAATTAAAAGAAATTAATTTGTATTTTTGTCCGCATTTAAAATGTTAAAAGTCAAATAGTGCGAGGAGGGGTAAGAATCTGGGGAGGAATGCTTTCACAATAGTGTTCAGATTTTCACTCGGTCTCCTGTAATCTATTTGCCCCGCAACCCCTCCACACATGCCATCTCGCCTCTAAATTTTCCGGAGAGATATAAGTCCCCTCTCCCATGAGGGCGAGGGGGACAGGGACCAAGGATCTAATTGTTCTGTAATGCGGGACTCAACCATTTCCGCCTTTTACACCCCGTCCCCAGCACCCCCCAGGTTTCCATGGCATCTCAGGCCTGTAATTCTGAGCTTCTTTAGAATTCGGCTTCAACTTTGTTACAAATTCCCATTCCTTCACTTGCTGTCCTTCTTAATATTTTGGGATTCTGCACCACGTATGTTCTCTGCTGTGGCAGCCACGAGCAGAGATCTGCGGAGATCTGCTGATATCTGCTGTGCTCCCAGATCTACTGGGGGATGAGGCTGACCCCGGGCTGTGGTCACCGCTGAGCACCCGTTTTACCAATTGCTGCTCTGCTGGGGTCCATGGCCTCCTCGCTTGCTGCGCCTTGAGGCCTAGGAGTTTAATTTTGGTGGACGCAGTTCCACAGCTGTGCCATAATTAGTGGCAAAGAAGGAAGTGGCTCTCTCCCCTCTGCATTTAATACAGGCGGATGGATCTCAAAGCAGAGTTGCTTGCACCCAGGGTATTCGAGTTTAGAAGGACGGATCTCTTTTCTTATTACTCTTCGTGCTCCCTTTGTTGGACCAGACATGTGCACGGAGAGCTCAGCTGGGGCCAAGTCCAAATGACAGTCACTTTGATATTCTAGGAATTGATGACTCCTGGCAATTAGAGCAGCCTCCTCTACAGTGTTGCCAGCTTCCAGTTCTTCCTTCTTTTTTCTTCATCCCAATCTTCATATCAACCCAGACATTCCTAAAACATTTCACTGTCCTGGCTCAAAAACCTTTCACACCTCACTGTCTTCTTTTTCATGGATAAAGTCCAAGCTCTTTGGACTTCATTTAGGGCACGTTATCACTTGGATTCACCCTACTTTTTCCAGATGACTCTCTCATTCTTCCTCTGTGTCAACTCTCTCTATTCCCCTAGGATTGACTTCTTATAGCCTCTCACTGTGGTCCTGTTTAGCTCAGAATCTTCCTTTTTCCCACTCCAAATATTCTCTCATCTCCCTAGGTCAGTCAAGGCTGTCTTCCTCGTTGAAGCATTCCCTTTACAATCCAGAGGCCCACCTCTCTGGGGAATTTTATGCTGTTTGTGGTTGTAGCTTTCATTTGGTAATGATGTAGACATGCACATTTCATGTATAGTGAGCTCAAAAACAACCCCCCGGCTAATACAGGTCCCTTTCTCTGGGCACAGACACCACTGGAGGGAAGCTGTAGGATTCCTTGGCACTGATTAGTAGTAACGATGTGTGAGGAAGTAAAGGTAGTGGTGTTGCCTTGGATCCTGGAAAAAGGCCAGAACTGGGCTCCTGCACCTCTGCGGAGCAAGCACTTCTTAGAGCTTGGGCAGCCTTGGCACTGAGCCTGGGGCTGACGTGTGGGTCCCCCCTGTGTGAAGCCTGGTCTATACAGGGTTTCTCATCAGATGGGTTTCTGTCCTTCAGACTCATCTGGACCTTTGGGTTTTTGCGCCTGCTACTTGCGCTGCTTGGAACCCCCAGCACCAAGATTTTAGCATGGCTTTTTTCATTCATCTCCTTGTCTAAATATTCCCATTTCAGCCCTTTCATATCTAAATTAACCTCAACCCAACAGTTTCTATGGCATCACCCCGTTTTTCTTTATTTTTTTATAGCACTTATCTGAAATCACCATCTTTGTTGTTTTTCTTTTGTGTGTGTGTGTGTACACACTCCAGGTTTTTATTTAAATTAAGATAAAAAATAGATAGTTTCCAACAACTTTCTAAATTTACGTAAAATATATTTTTATAAGGCCTAGTCATATTTTTATTTATTTTAATCCTCACCCAGGATATTTTTACACTTATCAGCAGGTAGAGTGGGAGAGAGGGGGAGAGTGAGGGAGAGAAAGAAACATCCATGTCAGAGAGACACATCGACTGGCTGCCTCCCGCAATACCCGACCAGGGCCAGGGATGAACTGCAACCGAGGTACGTGCCCTTGACTGGAATAGAACCTGCGACTCTTTGGTCCATGGGCGACACTCTAACCGCTGAGCCAAACTGGCTAGGACCCTAGTTGTATTTTTAAAAAAGAACTTTACAGTTTATTTTTCAATTACTATTTATTCTTTATTTGCTTATAATCTCTCCATGTGTTTACGGTGACTGTTATCAGTCTGTTCAATTTCTGAATTCCCAGCACTTAGAGCAATGCTAGGACACAGTAGGTGCTCAATGCATGTTGATTTTTAAAAAAATGTTTTTTTCCCTTTATTGATTTTACTGTAGAGGAAGTGAGAGGGAGAGAGAAATAGAAACATTCATGAGAGAAAACATCAATTAGCTGCCTCCAGCATGGCCCCCACTGGGGATTGGGCCCACAACCTGGGCTTACGTTCTGACCAGCAATTGAACCCGCGACCTCTTGTTGCATGGGTCGATGCTCAACCACTGAGCCACACTGGCCAGACTCAATACATGTTTATTGAATGAGTGAATAAACTGGGAAAGGAACTTTGGGCAGTTTCCTGCACTTGAGTAAATAGAGTTGTAGCTCTTTCTATCTTGGAGGAAAGGAAAGGGAGAGTGTATGTCAAATGATTCCAGCCAGTGCTCTGAATTCTGTCCCTCCTTAGATAGCACCCAGATTTTGAGGGAGAATCACATCCATGGCTCCCAGGGCTCAGGCAGCCTAGTGATCCTTTATTTACCCCAGTATATGACTTAGCCCAACCAGACACCCCCCAGGGTCCCCTGGCACTGCTGACCCCAAAGGAACTTTGTTCAGTTGGTCATAGTGTTTTTTGGGGAGTATCCCCAACTGCCTTTGGGTTTGCAAACTTCAGGCTAGCAAGTGACCATGCTAGAACAGTGGTTACTGAGTGTGTTTTTTTTCTTTTGTTTGTTTTTTTGTTAATCCTCACCAGAGGATATTTTTCCATTGATTTTTAGATAGAAATCTAGGGAGGGGGTAGAGCGAGAGAGGGGGAGAGAGAGAGAGAGAGATGTGACACCTGGATTGGTTGCCTCCTGTATGAGCCCTACCATGGCTGGTGATCTAGCCTGCAACCCAGGCACGTGCCTTGACTGGGAATTGAACCTGAGACCCTTTGGTCCTCGGCCCACGCTCCAACAGAAGAGCCATATTGGCTAGGGCTCAACTCTTTACAATTTAATTTTAATATTTTAATTTTTTACTTTTTCAACTTTCTCATAAAAGTGTATCTCATATACTGTAAAATGCACAAATATTAAGTGAAATTTTACATCTGTATACATCTGTGTAACCACGACCCAGACGAAGATATATTAAGCATCCCAGTCAGTTCCTTCATAGTCACTCCCAAGTGATATCCCTCAAGGGTAACCTGATCCCCATAGATTACTTTGCCTTTTTGGAAGGTCATATAAAAGAAATTATACAGTAAGTGTTTTATTTTAAAAAAGTGGTCATCTAGCCTGACACTGCATAAAGGAGTGGGCTAGAGTCTTGGCATTGACCCTCAGTCTGTAGGTCAGGTTGTGCAGAGTTGGCATCATGCCTCACTCCATGTATAGCCCCCTGAAACTTACTTAACTTTGTTGACCCTTGGTCTGCTCATTTATAAAATGGAGGGAAGAACCATTCTTACTTTGGAAAGTGCTTGTTATGATGAGTTCCTAATATATGTACAGTGCCTCCTGCAGTGCCTGGCACATAGTGGGTGCTTGCTAAATGTGTTGGATGAATATAACTATATATATTCTTGGCTATAGTAGGTATTCATTAACATGTTGAAATAATCTATTACTTATATTCCTGCTTGTAGTATGGATTTCTCTCGCCTTCTGCGAAATTATACCTCTAGGACTTCAGTTTAGGGATAAAGGTGTGTGTGGCCCACGATGTCTGCAAAAATCTTCCGCTTTCCTAAATAAAACACAATGACTTGGTTTTTCCAGCCAGAGTCAAATACTGGGGATTAGCGGGGGAGGAGCATTTCTGGAAAAAAGGGCCAGAAGGGTCGATCTTTTTCAGTATGGACACTTCACTGCAATACAAGAAACACTTAGGGAACAAGTGCAAACCTTGGTACTTGTCTTTCACGTTTTATTCGCTCCCTCATGCACTCACAGATCAGTGCCAGTCTTCACTGCACCTTGCTTTCATGGTGTCTGTTCAAGACGAGAGGCGGTTCCTTTAAAGCCCTGGAAAGGGTCTCTGAGGCGAGGCCACGCCCCGTTACGTATCCCGAAGGGGCGGGGCCGGGGTCTTTTGGCTTCCGTCACGTCCGGTTCTCTGTCAGTAGCGAGCTAGCGAGCACAGGGCTGTTCGAGAGCAGGAGCGGAGCGTGAGTACGCGGGACTCCGTCCCGCCCCTCGAACCCCCCTACCCTGCGGACCCCCTCACCCTCCGAACTGGGCCACGAGCCGTCCGGGGCCCTCCACTCTTCTCGTCGGTGGCGGCCTCGGGAAATGGCGGCGCTGCCTGACCTGCCCTTTCCCAGCCTCAGCTTCCATGGACCCCCTCCCCCGTCTCCGACCCCCCCCCGCGTCTCCGACCTTGCGCCCCTTGTGCTGCAGTCCCCTCCGTGCCGGAAGCTGACCCCCAGGAACGGTCCTGGGGGGGCGGGCGCGATGGCCCGGGGCTTCGGGGCGCGGCCGGGCTCGAGGAGCCTCGGGGAGGGGGCCGGGGCGCCCCCAGGACAATGCTGCGGCGGCTCGGGTCCAGCTCGGTCCTGGGGGGGGTGCCGTGCTGGGCCTGCTCCTTCCCAAGGCCTCCCCGGGGCCCCGCCCCTGCCTCTGGGGTCGGGGGCGCTCTGGGGGAGGGAGTGGGTCCCGTAGGAGGAGGGCTGGGGTGGGTGGCCGACGAGGGCTGGGGAGGTGGCGGAGGGGCTGAGGGTGGAGGCCGGCTGGTTTGCTGGGGGCAGCGAATGCCTCGAGAGAAGAAAATGGCGCTTGGTGCAAGTCCCTCCTCTTCCCGCACGGTCTCCTCCGCACTTCGCCACCTCCCACCTCCCACGCCCCCTCCGACCGGCCTGTCCGCCCCCCCACCAAGCCCCAGCCGTTTCCAGCCCCGGGTTCCAGGGGGCTTCCTGGAGCCGCGCGACCCCCTTCCCGGGACTGGGTGTGCTTATCATCCTTGGGTTATACCGAATTCATGTGCCATTTAGTTCTGGTTTATTTTCACCTCGTCTATTTTAATCTTTCTCCACGCCAACCAAGACCAAAGATTTCGTTTTTTTTTTAAGTTGCGTTTTGTTTATATTCTATACTAGTGATTTTAGTATCATTTGCCTGAATTACGAGCCTGCCCCTTTTTTTTGGAACAGTAAAGGCTCAGTAAGTAAATATAAATACTTATTTTGTCATAAGTTTTAAGAGGCAGGCTTTAGTTACCATTACCATTACCTTGTTTTCTTGTTAATGGACTTATTTGGGTTAAAAAGCAGGGTGTTTTTCTTTGAAATGATCCTAGGCCCCCAGGCAGTTTTTAACAGATGGTGTAGTTATGCTAGACCGGTTCAAAGTGAAAAATAGTTTAATTTAATTAGCTTTAAAAAAAGTTTTTTTTTTGTGTGGCATTTTTAGCAACTGGCATACAAAACAATTGATTTGGAATTAAGGTTGTAAAAAGGAACAGTAACAGGAATAATGTATAAAACGTATTTATGAGCGTTGCTGCTCCCCTCCGAATTTACTCTTATGAAGAAATTACCAGCTAAAATCAATGTGGTTGGGTTGGGTATGGTTTGAGCTTTTCAAATTTAGTGGCTAGGATTGGGATGGCCCACTTCTTTTACCTTGACCTCCAATTGTGGAACACAGCAGATGTCACTGCTAATACATGTTCAGTCTAGAGTGCTAGATTATTTATAACTTTTTAAAGGAGAAAATGAAGTCTGTTTTTCTTCTTTATTCAAACATTTACAGACTGTGTTGTGTATATTGAGCCCTTTAGGGCACACAAAAATTGTAACAGTCTCTTCAGAGAGGGAGGTGGAGAGAGCGAAGGATACTTTGATAAGTGTTTTACCACCTGATACTGTAAGTGCTTTGAAAATAGGTACAGGGTGCCTTGGAATTCTCTGAAATTAGGGATTTAGGCTTTAGAAACAAAATCTCTGCAAAAATAGATGCACAAGGCTCCCTGTCTTGCTGCACTCAGACACTCAGTAAACATTTACTTGTAAGGAAGGCACTGGGCTATGTACCTCCATCTGGGGGAGCTGAGGAACTGGGATCTTAGTAGGAGTCTGAGGAAAGGTTTTTCCTCTTACACAAACAGATTCTTCAAATTTTGGTATGTTCCAGAGTAGAAAAGTAGTGTAAAAAATGTAACGAATTATGAATTACACATAAGTTTGTGAACTCTGAATTAGTATTGGTTATTTGGTGGCATGGTCAAAAGCCAAAGAAATTTAAGAACATATACAGCCTAGCCGGTGTGGCTCAGTGGTTGAACATTGACCCATGCACAAAGAGGTAACTGATTTGATTCCTGGTCAGGGCACATGCCCAGATTGTGTGCCCGATTCCCAGTGGGAGACATGCAGGACAGGAGACAGCCAATCAATGTTCTCTCTCATCGATATTTCTATTTTTCTCTCCCTCTCTATCTAAAGTCAATAAAGAAAAAAACATTAAAAAACAAGAACATATACGAAATATGAAAAATAGTATTATGATGGCAAATTAATTATATATCAACATCTGTATAGTGCAACTATTCCTGTGTTTTGTGACTGTTGTGGTTATTTCCTCCAATGAATACTTTTTTGTTAGGTTTCATCAGTGAGAAGTGTAAAGCAGTACTGAGGAATTATTCATATTTCTCCCTGGCTTTGACAGTGATTGCTGTCAGCTGCTGCTTGTGTATCCTCATAAAACATCTAACCCCACTAAAATGAAGTATGAAAAGATCCAGTGGGCCCTGGCCGGTTCTGCTCAGTGGCTAGAGTGTCGGCCCACATACCAGAGAGTCCCGGGTTCAGTTCCTGAAAAGGGCACATACTTCATTTGCAGCTTGTCCTTGGCTTCAGTTGGGGTCATGTGGGTGGCAGCCAGTCGATGTGTCTCTCTCACACCAGTGTTTCTCTCTTGCTCCCTCTCTCCCTCCTGCTCTTATCTGAAGATAAATGCAAAAATGTCCTTGGGTGATGATAAAAAAAAAAAAAAAGAAAGACCCACTGGCTTTGAGAAAGGGGTGTAAGAGTATAGATGTATGACACTTGCTCCTTGCTTGGTTCAGAACAGTTTATTATGCATGTTATTTTCAACTTGGAAGAGCATAGATTAGAGTATAACTTCTAGTATGGTGCTCAGTATAACAACATCAGTACCACAGAATGGTAGAATGAACCATGGAACTTCCAAAATTTTTGATTGGGGGAGAGTTAAATTGAATGTAATAGAGCAATTTGTAAATTATTTACCTAATATATTTTTCTTTCAGAATGCCTAAATCAAAGGAACTTGTTTCTTCAAGCTCTTCTGGCAGTGATTCTGACAGTGAAGTTGACAAAAAGGTGACTATCACTGCACCAGGTCATTTCTGTGATACTTATTAATTCAACAATATTGCCCTATTACTGCACCAGGTCATTTCTGTGATACTTATTAATTCAACAATATTGCCCTATTACTGCACCAGGTCATTTCTGTGATACTTAATTCAGCAATGTTGCCTGTATGCAGTTCTAAAGGGGACAGCAAGGCATGTCAGGATCTTAAAATGAGAAGCCTGGATGGGTGTTTCTGAAAGTGTGGATGGCTCCTGGACCACTTCATTTCTCTGAAATGCCTAGAGTGCTGCTTCATGCACACCTAGCCCCCGAATCAGATGCCAGCCAGCCTTCAGGCTAACTTCTGCTGAGGAACCCTAAAGCTACAGAACCACTGCTATAGACCCTAGAGGAATAATGTTAGAATTAGGCCGTAGTCACTAATTACTTAGAAATCTGCTTTATAACTGTTGTATGAAGTAGTTGATCCAAATGATCTGAACTCCTTGAATGATTTATCAATTTTGACAGCCTTCTCAGTCACTGGTGTTTATCCGGCTCACAAGTATTACTCAAAGTGTAGGCTTGGTACATTTTAAGTTAGAATATTATTTACTCTGGTTCCCTCCTTTTACTTAAATCAACACCCAGCAAAGCTGATTTGAAATTACTCATTTAGACAGAATAGGCTTTTTCTGCATTAGATGACAACTGCACTGTAAGTGGTGTATAATTCCCCTTGACTCAGCGCCTCACACTGTAGTCAGGGCTTCTTTCCACGCAGACCTGTCCTTTATTTCTTAGATGCTTACATAGTTGTATCTCTGAGCTTACTTAGTTAACAGTGTTCATTAAAAGGGAGAGATTGAGGGAGAATCTTGAAGATGGACTTTTATGGAGAAATAGAGAACATAATATCATTTGGAAGATTGAAACAGGCTTCAAAGAAAATACATACACTGTAGGAGAAAATCTCTCTTAATTTTTTAATTGCACCTAGTGTAGCATTTGAATAAGTTCATGTAACACATTTTTATTGAGTTTTTCTTTGCTAGGCCTGTACCAGGCCACAGGAAATATCTAGACAGACCCTGATGTAAATAACTGCTTTTGCTTATTGAGCTGAGTTAATTTTTGCTGTTTGTCTCAAATAGTACTATTAATCCTGTAAAACTTACATTAAATACATCCATTTTTTGTTTATATACAATTATATTTTATCTAGCTTTGTTTAATTTAGTAAAACATTAAACTGTACTAGCTTAGGCTTTCCACTAAGGAACATGACTGCCCTCTACTGTTTGAGTTGGGAACTCTACTGGTTGTCATGGGCTGTTTGCTCATTTTGAGAACAAAGCTATATAAAAAGCTTTTGCAATAAAACATTGCTGTCTATCTTCAGTTATTTATTTTTTTTGTGAAGAGGAAGTTCTTGAGTTATTGTCTTGTAGTGTTCAGTATAAAATAGGTTTCTTAGCTTTGCCTACTCATGAATTCCCTAAGCCAGTTTAAGTCTCTTTTGTAATAAGCAGAACATAAATAGATAATTATATCCTAGAAATGGAATAAATTGGTTGTATTCATCCTAATTAGCATTTCCCCCTTTGTAACTTTAGTAGACTTGTGGTTTCCAAAAGTTTATTCAAAAGCAGCAGTCCCTCATCTTTTGTTGTTGTTCCCAAAGAAAGCTTATGTGGGATCATGGTATACAAAATAACTTTCTTTGGTTAATACCACTCTAATGCTTTTTTTGGGCTTCTGGGAACAGTTTGAAAACACTATTACATACCAGTGCTAGGTTAGTTTCAAAGTTTCATCAGGTGAAACTTGGCTAATTTATATTTCTGATTTTTTACTTAATGAATAAATGTAGTTTTTTGATCCTTTAAGTCTTAAAAAGTTTTGGAATCTTTTGAACCTGTCTATGTAAGAAATGTCCAAACTTGTAGAGAATTTTTATAAGAGTTTATTTGAGCCAAACTGATAACATTGTCGGGAAGCAAGATCTCAAATGCCTGGAGGAGTTTTGCAGGTTTTTTTTTTTTTTTTTTTTTTACATTTGAAATTCCAAAGGAAACAAGGAAGATTACATGGAAAATAAGGCAGCGATTGGATTACAGGATAGTCAGTGAGACCATGTGTTCTCTTGAGGATGATTAAGCTTGTCAGGGCATTTCAAAGGTGTGTTAACCTAGATGCACAGAAACAATGTACAGGGCTTAATGCAAAGATAAACCTTACACTAAAGCCTTATATGCCTGGGCTGTGACTACCTACCATGACCTGCTCAGTTAGGAATTTATGATCACATTACCCTGTGAGGTTGCTTTTGGTCACTGAACTTGTACATATCCCCTTTTTTTGTTCATAAACCTGAGACATGTTTTATTCTTAAGTGTGTCAGTTTTAACCACATATATGTTTTTGTTTCAAGTTAAAGAGGAAAAAGCAAGTTACTTCAGAAAAAGCTGTAAAGAAGCAAAAGACTGGTGAAACTTCAAGAGCCCTGTCATCTTCCAAGCAGAGCAGCAGCAGCAGAGATGATAATATGTTTCAGGTAAAGTTGGTTATTTTCTTAGATCCAGAGGATTTTTTTATCTGGCTTGATCTGAAGACTGATACAAGTGCCTTAATCTAATAATGTTTAATCTTTTATATATATTAGAGTCCTCTCGACTAAGGATATTCATTGAAATATAACAACAAGTTAGTAGGTACGGAAATATATGATGCTGGATTTTTTTATAACGAGTTTAATTTGAGCCAAATTGACAACATACCCAGGAGCAAGATCTCAAATGCTCCCTATGTGATGTTAAAATCTAGAAATCTGTAGTTTTGCTATATTTAAAATAATGTGAATTTAAAAACTAGAAGTCCTAAAGAAGAGATTGAGAAATGAGCATTAGAAAGTAGTTTGGAGGAGGCAGGTCTAGTATTGGGCTGTGAAATATGGATAAGATGTTATTGAAGAGGAAGCAGCACCCTGGCCAGTTTGGCTCAGCGGTTAGAGCGTCGGCCTGCGGTCCGGAGAGACTCGGGTTTGGTTCCCGCTAAGGGCACGTACTTCGGTTGCAGTTTGTCCCCGGCCCTGGTTGGTTGTGCGGGTGGCAGCCACTCGATGTGTCCCTTCACGTCGTTGTTTCTCTCTCTCTCTCTCCCTCCCACTCTATCTGTACAAAAAATGGAAAAATATCCTCGGGTGAGGATAAAAAAAAAAAAAAAAAAGAGGAAGCAGCAATATGATCTGCCTAGTTTTAGCTTGATAACAGAAACGGTGAGTGGGTTTGCTAAAGTAGGCTCTCTGTTTATATATAGTGGGGAAGGGAAGTTCATTAGAGGGATTTGATGAGATCATTTGGAGAGGAATAGTGGACCTTCTTTGGTGCCTTACCTTGTTTTAGGGAGACTTGTTATTGACATTATTGTACAGGAAGGATTTGTGGGGAGAAGCAACAGGGATAAATGAATGCAGGTGAGATCTCTTGGGTAATTGTAGGCCTTAATCTGTATGTGAGGTGATAGGAGATTAGATCATTTTTCCGAAGAAGAAATAGTGATGCTTATAAATTACTGATGAGGAAAGATGGATTAGAGGAATGAAATAATGAAAACTGGTTTTATATTTGAGAGACCATAGAAATGCAGGTTTAATGAGTAGAAATGAGGAAAAAGAATTAGTTTTAATGGCAAAGGTGGTTAAGTTTGGCGTCTCGGACCTGACTGTAAATGGGATAAAATAAGAAGAGTGTCTCCTGTGGTACCTGGAGGGCTTGGCTAGGAAATGTTCACATGGAGTCATCAGCATGGTGACTGAAGTGAGCATAAATCAGAGGGAGAAGAGGAGGTGACTAAGGACGTGTTTTGGTGGTTGATGTTTTAGGAAGGAAAGAAAAGGGGTGTAGTAGGCCAGAAAAGGTGAAGGAAAATGGAAGAGGACAGTAATAGGAGCAGGAGTAGGATAAGTGTTTTAAGAAGGAGGCCTAAGTATATTTGTTGGACAGAATGAGAGTACAAACGTTTAAAAAAAAATCTGTTTCCATTAATGTTTTTCAGATTGGGAAGGAGGGGCGGGGGGAGAGGAGAGGGAGAGAACGTGAGAGAGATACATCGATTGGTTGTCCCCCATATTACTCTGACTGGGGCCAGGGATCGAACCCACAACCGAGGTACGTGCCCTTAACTGGGAATTGAACCCATGACTATTAGGTCCACGGGCCTACGCTGTAACCGCTGAGCCAAACTGACCAGGGCAAGAGTACAAACATTTGACGAGAAAGGTTAGTGCATGCGCGCGCACACGTGCGCGCGCACACACACACACACACACACACACACACAATGCATATCTGTCTGTCTGTCTATATATAAACATACATACATACTTAATGAAAGGTTTTTTTTTATCCTCACCCGAGGACATTTTTCGATATTTTGTTCAGATAGAGTGGGAGAGAGAGAGAGAGAGAGAGAGAGAGAGAAACATTGACGTGAAAGGGACACATGGAGTGGTCGCCACCCACACGACCCAACCAGGGCTGGGGACAAACTGCAACTGAGGTACGTGCCCCTAGCGGGAACCGAACCCGGGTCTCTCCAGACCGCAGGCCGATGCTCTAACCGCTGAGCCAAACCAGCCAGGGCTTAATGAGTCTTGAAAGAGTGCCAGGATTAAGGTGGGAATGGAAATAGGAGTTCGCTATTTTTGCTTGCTTTTGCCTTGTTATATGTCTAGATAAAGAATAAAGACACATGATGACTATACTTAATAACACTGTATTGAATACTGGAAATATGCTAAGATTTCAGGTGTACTGATCACACACCAAAATTGATAACACTGCGAGGAGGTGATATGTTAATTATTTGACTGTATTCATTTCACTGTGTAATTATTTCACTATGGATATGTATATCAAATCCTGTTTTGTACTTCAAATATGTACAATTTTTATTTGAAGATACATAAAAAAAAGAAAATAGACAAAATGTAGATGAATTATTTAGTTATGGGTTTAGTTTTCTGACTTCTGGATACGTTAGAGGAAGTAGGAGCAGACTAGGTGAATTTGATAGAGCATATTAGTTGCTATTTGTATGTAAGAATTACGAAAGGACCTCATTTCTGTAAGTGGATAAAAAGTTGAATGCTTGCCCTGGCCTGTTTGGCTCAGCGGTTAGAGCGTCCGCCTGCGGTCCGGAGAGACCCGGGTTCGGTTCCCGCTAAGGGCATGTACCTTGGTTGCAGTTTGTCCCCGGCCCTGGTTGGTCGTGCGGGTGGCAGCCACTCGATGTGTCCCTTTCACATCAATGTTTCCCTCTCTCTCTCTCTCTCTCTCTCTTCCTATCTCTCCCTCCCACTCTATCTGTACATAAAATGGAAAAACGTCCTCGGGTGAGGATAAAAAAAAAAAAAAAAAGTTGAATACTTACTGTATTTCATTCAGACCTTGCTAACGTTCAGGACATGCACTGATGAACCAAATAGATGTGGTCTTTGTTTGCATTGGATTTATGGTGATAAAAATTATATAGATAAACATACATATACTTAGAATTGTGGGCTGAGAAGTAAAAGAGCGGACTATTATGAGAAGGTACTCTGGGTGTCTTCTGAGGAAGTGTCATCTGACACTTAAGACAAAGGAAGAGTTAGTCATGTGAAGTGTATGGGAAAGGGAATAATTTTCAAAATAGAGGAAATTGTGCAAGTACCTTGAAATGGAAAAGAACTTGGATTGTGTAGGACTTATAAAGCTCTTGTGGCTGGAGCCTTGAAAGTGTGGTTGAGATGTAGACAGGAGATCTAGTCGGTAAGGAAGGCGAAGGGCCAGATTTTGCAGGGCTTTCCTGTTGGAAGGCCATTGTTACGAGTTTGAGTTTTATTCTAAGTGCGGTGGGAAGCTATCTTAAGGGTCAGAATGAAATGTACAATCTGGAAAGTATTTCCTTTCATAGACTTTCCTCCTCTGTAGAATGAAGGATTAACTATTTTACCTTAATGTTTGCAGTACAGGTAAAAACTTTCAGGTATTTGGGTAACTAGCTGGGCTTTTCTCTGATTAATTCTGTTCACCATATGCCTACCTTTACCTGTATGGTAATAGAGTATCTATGGCCTATTAATGGATTTTATTTTGCCATTGAACCCCTAATTTTATATGTAAAGAAACCAGAACCCACATTTAGAGTTTTTATTTTAATAGAGCAGATTTGGGAAAACCAGATCTATTTTTAGGAGGTGGTTATCTCACCAAAAATGGGTTCAATTCAATTTGGAAATCTTCCATGCCTGTTAAAGCTATTAGACTCCTCACCTTTTTGAAAATGCCTCTCGGAGGAGCATAGGCCTTATTTTTAAAGTTACTTTTCACAGACCTACTAGCGTAGGCCCTCAGAGAGAAATTTTAATTTCGTTGCCATTTATAGCTTTTTCCTTGAAATGGTATTTTGGCCACAGAAAAGTATTTTGGTGGTAATACTGAATTTTAATTGGCTTAAGAGTACATTGGAATACATTAATTATATGCTATAAAATATCTTTGTTAGTAGTAATGGTTTGATAATTTTGTTAGAAAGACAGATAAAGGATGGGGTTTTTGGAAGGAAAATTCATTACTCTCCATGTTTTATAAAGTAGCTTTTTTTTTTTTTTTAAATAGGGCAATATATTTTATATTTACCAAAGAAGTACATTGAAGACAGCCCCCAAAGAGTGGAATTTCAGACATTGCTAGAATGTCTGGACCCAGCTTATCAGATATACTTTGCCAGAAACAAATAGATCTAAAATCTGAATTAAAATTATTTGGGTATTGGTTAGTAACAGTATGACAAGTGTTTTTTTTGTTTTTGTTTTTTATTTAACTTGAATATCCATCTTGAGAATAGAACTAGATGAAATAAACTTATTTTCTGGTAAAGCAATGTACATCATACATAAGCAATTCTTAATGTAATATTTGAAGAGACTTGTACCCAAGGAAGGTCACTGCACTACAGTAATCTTTTTTAAAAAAAAATATTTTTATTGCCCTGGCCAGTTTGGCTCAGTGGTTAGAGCATCGGCCTGTGGTCCAGAGAGACCCAGGTTCGGTTCCCGCTAAGGGCACAACGTACCTCGGTTGCAGTTTGTCCCCAGCCCTGGTTGGGTTGTGTGGGTGGCAACCACTCTATGTGTCCCTTTCACATCGATGTTTCTCTCTCTCTCTTCCTCGCTCTCCCTCCCACTCTATCTGAACAAAAAATGGAAAAAATGCCCTTGGGTGAGGATAAAAAAAAATTTATTTTTATTAATTTGTTTTTGTTACAGATGTTTGTTTTCTCCCATTGACCCCCTCCTCCCAACCCTTCCCCCCATCCCCAGCATTGTTGTCTATGTCCATTGGTTACGCATACAGTCACTGCACTAATCTTTTAAATTCTATAATGATTTGGGCAGAATTTGGGCTAGAGAGGAAATACTACTAGATGCTTGTCTTTGTCTGGTTCCTTCAGCTCTGAATTTTAAGAACTTGGTTCCCTAGGGATATAACCTGCCTGAGATAGGACTTACAGTTGATACTGAAGATGGTCTGGGGAACTATCTTGTAATTAGTTAGGATCTTAAGGGTCAGAATGGTTGAGACAGGGGACTGTGATCCAAATTTTTCCTCAAAGGTAGGCATGAGGGTTAGTAATACCTTAGTTGATTTGATGATTTAAGGATAAACCTGATACTTCTAAATTATGCCACTATCCTGTCAATTGTTCTTTTCTTTTTATCCTCACCCGAGGACATTTTTCGATATTTTGTTCAGATAGAGTGAGAGGGGGAGAGAGAGAAACATTGACATGAAAGGGACACATCGAGTGGCTGCCACCCGCACGACCAACCAGGGCTGGGGGCAAACTGCAACCGAGGTACATGTCCTTAGTGGGAACTGAACCCGGGTCTCTCTGGACCGTAGGCCAACGCTCTAACCACTGTGCAAAACTGGCCAGGGCCTGTCAAGTGTTCTTAATCTGCGGGGGTAGTGTGGGGTGGGCGTTTCATGAATATATTTTAGAGAGTCTGTGGAATTATTTTTTTGTTGAACTTTTTTTTTGTATCTGAAGGAATTATTTATACCATTGTCACATCCCCAAAGGGGATAAGGAATAAAAAAATTAAAGAATCACTGTTTTTTATGATGTACATGGTAATTTTTCCTGTTAACCTTCAAATTATATGCATGAAAATTATATGAGTTCTGTCATTTGATTCTGTTATTTGCTCTTTTTTTTTTTTTTTAATCCTCACCCGAGGATATTTTTCCATTTTTTGTACAGACAGAGTGGGAGGGAGAGAGAGGAAGGGAGAGAGAGAGAGAGAAACATCGACGTGAAGGAACACATCGAGTGGCTGCCACCCGCACGACCAACCAGGGCCGGGGACAAACTGCAACCAAATTACGTGCCCTTAGCGGGAACCGAACCCGGGTCTCTCCGGACCGCAGGCCGACGCTTTAACCGCTGAGCCAAACTGGCCAGGGCTTATTTGCTCTTATTACTTGTGATTGTAGTGATCTTTACTACATTATTGTAGTGATCACTACTACTACATTATTTTTCTGTTGTTTGTGTGTGTGTGTGTGTGTGTGTGTGTGTGAAGAATTTCTTAGCTTTATTTAAATTTCTCCTCAAAGGAGAGGAGGTGACTGTTGGGCAAGTTCCTTTCTTTTTAAATAAAATATGTTGAGATTTTATATATATCTATATCTGTAGATATATAGATATAGATATATATGTAGATCCACACACACACATAAAATAAAATGCACACACAAAGTATAATTTGTGATGAGCTGTGATAAATATACACATTCTTGTAGACAGGCCATTTCCATCATCCCAGAAAGTTCTCTCTTGGCCTTCCTTTAGAGTCACCCCCACAAAGATTCTGGGGCAGGGGGTTGACTCTAAGGGGAGGCTGAGAGTTATTTCGCCTGTTCTAGAACCTCATATAAATGGAATCATACAGTCTATTGTTTTGTGTCTGACCTCTTTTGCTCAGCATAATATTTTCTAGTATCAGTAGTTTGTTCCTTTTTATTGTGGGGTGGTATTCCATTGTATGATTATACTACAGTTGGTTTATCCTTACACTTTGGATGGACATTTCGGTTCTTTCTCGAGTGGGGGTATTAGGAACTAAGCTGCTAAGAATACTCTTGTACAAGTCTTTTTGCGGATATTTTTCCCTTTTGGGTAAAGAACAGATGCATTTCCTGGACCATAAGCTAAGTATATGTTTAAGTTTATAAGAAACTGTCAAACTTTTCCATACTAGCTGTACCATTTTACACGCCCATTAGCAATGTATGAGATTCCACTTGCTCCACATCCTCACTGGGTATTGTCAGTCTTTTAAAATTTATCCAGTTAATGGATGTGTAGTGGTGGTGGCTTATTGTAATCTTAATTTAAGACTGGTAAAATGCCATGAATACACTTATAACTTGCTTGTCTCTCTTTAAAAAATAGGTTTATTTTATTTTATTTTTTCTTATCCTCACCCGAGGACATTTTTTGTTCAGACAGAGTGGGAGGGGGAGAGAGGAAGAGTGAGAGAGAGAGAAACATTGACGTGAAAGGGACACATCGAGTGGCTGCCACCCGCATGACCAACAAGGGCCGGGGACAAACCGCAACCGAGGTACATGCCCTTAGCGGGAACTGAACCCGGGCCTCTCTGGACCGCAGGCCGATGCTCTAACCGCTGAGCCAAACCGGCCAGGGCAGTTTACTTTTTCTAGGGAGGTTTTAAAGTTTTAACCCTTTTTCAGGTTTCATATTTCTCAGGAATATGAGTCTTGGAGAAGACAAACAATAGTAGTAGTATTTTTCTGCTTGTTTTTTTTTGTTGTTGTTCTTGGTCTAAGAACCCATATAGGCTTCAGATTTTTCTTCCTGGTTTTTCAAGTCCTCTTCATTATGGCTCAATAAATCAGTTCACTCTGTCCTTGAATATCAGTATTGTCTTTCTGCTTTCTCTCTTCTGCGTCTTTTTTCAAGGTCAAATCCCACCACTTAAAGTCTCTTCTACTTGCTTAAAGCCCACACTGACTCTTACTTGACTTATTTAATCAAAGTTATTTCAGTAGGTTTTCAGTATATTTTAATTTTATCTACCAACAAACTCTTGGGCTTATTGTAAAACCCAAAATGAAAATGTTTAGTTCGGTGCTGTAGCTGCCTAAGATACTTAAAATTTTTTTAAAATATGAAATCAATATTGTAAGTCACTATTGACAGTTTTACTGTGATAGTTATTTTGGTCTTATTCAACTCATCCATTAAAACAGTTTACCGGGAACTCGGTATGATAGGCATTAGGGGATATGAAGAAAACTGAGTAAAAAATAAGCCATAAGTCAATCGCTATTGACTTTAGAGTAGGCAGTGGGAATTTAATTGGTAGAAATGACAGTTCTCTCCTTTCCAAGTTTAGCACTAAAGGGAAGAAGGAAGCATGGAGAAAGTTCTAAAATGCAGGTTAGGGAAAATGCTTTATAGAAAGAATAGATGCATGTTTGCAAATGGTGGATAAGAAACTCCTGGAAAGGGAAAGAATGCATGTGTAAGAAATGGGATATGAAAAGTAAAGTTCAGAATTGATGATGATGTGGATAAATACAAGGAAGAGAGATTTGAAGGCCGTTACTCATTCCTAATGGACTTGATTTTTTTCCATAAAGCATGGGGCACACTGTAAGTAGAGGACACACCAGTAGGACAAGAAACTTATTTGAGAATGGAAAACTAAAGGAAAATGAATTAGACCAAATTGAGACAAGAAACAGCAGTGTAAGGGGATCGAGGCAAGACGGAAGTCATAAATGTGTACTTGTGTCATCAGCACAACTATGACCGAAGTATAGCAATGCTTGGTATCCCAGTAAAAGAGAGTGTTTAATAATTAAAGGACCCGGGTTGGTAGGGAAAGGAACATAGTCAAACCCAGAACTTTTACATGATGATGTGTTTTAAGCAAAAACATAGCTACTTTTAAGTCAGTAAGATTGAAGAATAGGTTTAGAATGAATAAGAGAAGTATTAGAGGTTTTGATGAGAAAGTGATTTCGTAGTTTAAGTGCTAGACAATATATTACAGTAGTATAAGACTTCCTGAAAGCGTTTACAGGTACTTTGTTGAGTAAAGAGTTTCCATTCCTGTGGAATTTGTCATTTGTGTTAAAGAGCAGTTTAAGGTTTTGAAAAGCAGTTTTCTGTGGATGGTTTTAAGTTCTCAATTTGAGACCGAGTAAAGTGTATTAAAGATGTTATTTGAAATGAATGACTAAAGGGAAGAGCTTTCTCATTATTGACTCTGGATTCTTATATTCAGAATGGTTGCTAAAGCAGTGTAGCTAGGTTGAATCTATGGTTTCCTACGGTTGTAGTTTTTACTGAAAGATTTTGCTTTCTTAGGATTTTTAAAAAAATATTTTTTCTTTATTGATTTTTAGAGGAAGGTAGAGGGAGAGACAGAAACATCGATGAGAGAGAACATCGATTGGCTGCCTCCTGCATGCTCCCCACTGGGGAGTGGGCCCACAACCTGGGCATGTGCCCTGACTGGGAATCGAACTGGTGTATGGGTCCGATGCTCAACCACGGAGTCACACAAGCCGGGCCTTTCTAATGATTTTTATTGTGGTAAAAGACACAACATAAAATTTACCATCTTTATTAGCCATATGTTCACATTACTATGAAACAGATCTCCAGAACTTTTTCATCTTGCAAAGCTGTTACACAGTTACACATAACAACTCCCCTTTTCGCCTTTTCCCCAGCCCCTAGTAACCACCAGTCTGTATTCTGTCTCTGAATCTGACTGCTCTAAGCACCTTATAAGTGGAATCATACAATCTAGATCTTTTGGTGACTGTCTTATTTCACTTAGAATGATGGCCTCAGCCTCATCCATGTTGTAGCATGTGACAGGCTGAATAATATCCCATTGTCTGTATGTACCACATTTTGTTTATTCATTTATCAAAAGATGGACATTTGGGTGCTCCATCTCTTGGTTATTGTGAGTAATTTTGCTATGAATATGGGTGTGCAAATATCTCTTGAAAATTTTGCTCTTATTTTTTGTAGCTACATACGCAGAAGTGGGGCTGCTGGATTATTGCTGGATCAGATGTTCTATTTTTGAGGAACCTCCATACTGTTTTCCATAGTGGTCGCACTATTTTGCTAATGATTCTTTTAATGTAAAATAATCGGAAATGTGGATATGCTTGTTTAGTTCCATCTTTTTAGAAAATTTTCTTTTAAATAGTGACATTTCCTTTGGTTGCAGTTTTGATATTGACAGTAGTAGTTTTTTTGTGTTTAAAAGTATAGTGAGTATGCAATAAGTTGTGAATATAAATATGGACTATAGAAATGAATACTTTTTTACACTTTGTTTCTTTTGCAGATTGGGAAAATGAGGTACGTCAGCGTTCGGGACTTTAAAGGAAAAGTCCTAATCGATATTAGAGAATATTGGATGGATCCAGAAGGTGAAATGAAACCAGGAAGAAAAGGTGAGATTTAATTTCCTGAACTTGGTTCTAATATTGGGACTAAATTAAAAATTAAGTGACCGACCTTGGTTGAAATTGAAATAATGTTGGCATTGCACTGGGAAGGTCCTCATTCGGTTGATTCACTATCTTTTATAGTCTTTTTGGGTAAGACCCTTATTATATTTTTAATCCTCACCTGAGAATATGTTTCTATTGATTCCTTCAGGTTGGGGTCCTTAAGTGGGTTTTTGTCTTCCTTTTGTACTTTATCCAGCATCATAGAAGCCTACTTTATTAATTCACCAAATAGAGAACATTTGTTGCCAGCATAAATTCATATATATCTGGGTGGGTAGTTAGCTGCTTTAGGTTGGTTGATTCTTAGCTAATGAAAAAATTGCCTTCTTATTTTCTTCTATTCTTCCTGCAAATCGTTTTGAAAGGTATGACTTGTTTGCTTATGTAGTTTTTAGGTTTACTAAATATAATCTCTATGTTTTTATACCCTTTAATATTTTCTTGTTGAGCCTACTTTGTGGATTGGTCATTCCAGCTGTTCTCTTGTGACCACTGCCGGATATTTTTTCTTATTCCTGCAAGTGTTTACTGAAACAATTAAGATTAGCTTTAAAGCCCTTCCAAAGTGTTGTCCCAATACATTCTTCTCCTTCCTTTCAGCAGTTTTCTGAGAAATACATTACTTCTTTAATTCTAGTTTATTTTTCTGTATGCATGGATCAGGTATTAGACTATTGGAATTTTAAAGTACAAAGTTCTTTCTGTTCATACTTTTACATCTTAAATAGGACAGACATGTTATTAGCTAACATTTTAAGTGTTTACTTGTACCTGGTGATCCACCAAGCTTTTAATTGAGATCAGCTAATTTAATCATTCACAACAACCCTTTGAAGAATAAGTACAATTTTATTTATTAAATAATAATTTATTGATTTTTGAGAGAGAGAGAGAGACATCAGTGTGAGAGCATCAATTGGCTGTCTCCTGCATACCTCCTACCAGGGATTGAGCCTGAAACCCAGGCATGTGCCCTTGACCGGGAATCTAACTGGCAGCCTCCTGGTGCATGGATGACAGACACCCAACCTACTGAGCCACATAGGCCAGGGCTAAGTACCATTTTAATGGTGGGGAAACTGAGGCTCAGAGGTAGTGTAATTGTTTGAAGGTCATGCAGTTAGTGATAGTGAGGCTGTGATTTAAACCTTGACAACATGACTCTAGAATGTACATTCCAAGAAGTCCTGTATGGATCATATCCCCGGGATTTTCCAGAGTGAAATGAATACTTCTGGAAGAACATAGCACAAAGTCAACCAGCTTATGTATCATGCAGGATGCATTGTTAGAAGTAAAACTAGATATGAGATTGATATCAGGTAATCGTGATGAATCTGTAATTAACAAATTAAGAGATTTTGTTCTCAGTATTATACCATTGTGCTATTCAAAAATGGCAATTTTGACAAAACAGTATTTTAGTTGAAAATTTGAAAATCTTCAAGAAAGCTTAAATACATTTTCAACTTTTGATTTTTAAAACTTTGTTTTAGGTATTTCTTTAAATCCTGAGCAGTGGAGCCAGCTGAAGGAACAGATTTCTGACATTGATGATGCAGTAAGAAAACTGTAAATTCAGAGCCATATAAAACTTGTACTGTTCTAGTTGTTTTAATCTGTCTTTTTACATTGGCTTTTGTTTTTTAAACGTTGTTTTCCAAGCTATTGTATATTTGGATTGCAGAACAATTTGTAAGAATACTTTTTTTTTTTTTAAAGTTCATTATTAAAAATGTTCTGAGTGAAGCTAATTGTCAAGTTTATTAAGGGGAATTGCTTTGTGCCCACCACCTAGTGTAAAATAAAATCAAGTAATACAATCTTAACTGTTGTGGCCTTCTTTGATCAGAGTAATTGGGACTGTTTAAGGCCAAATGTTAACAGTTTATAGACCTTTTAATTTCAACTTGGCTTTTACATTCAAAAGGATTTATATTGTATTGAATTTATAAACTTGATCTGTGAAATCCATAGTTGATCTGCTTTCTTCTAAACAAATGTCTAGGCTTTGATTTTCTAACCTAGTGATACTTCACTTTCCCTTTTTTATCTTTACTTCATTTTACTTTAATAACTTGTCATGTTCAGTTTTCATTTCACTTTTTGCTCTTTTTCTTAATTATACTTATATGAAAAGTCAGTGAAACTGTTGAAATGTTAGTTATCTCAATAAGGTACTTATAACTAAAATTATATGAGAACTACAATCACTAATTCTACTGTATTCAATATTAGGAGATATAGTTTGATAAACAACATGGCTTGTTTGAAAACTCTGAGCAAGTAAGTGTATGTCATTACCTGTAGTGTTCTGTGTAGTAGTTATCTTATTGCTTAGTCTGCAGACAATAATGACTTAGGTGTCTGATTTGCTTTCACTTATTAAACATGTTTACCATAGGATGATGTCTATAAAATCAGATATTGTTAAATTAGACTAGGAATTAATAAAAATTGTGAAAGCTTATTGGCCTAATATGTTATTTTATAATATTGAGTATGCATTATATATAGCCAGAGATATCACTGAGCTCTACTGTTATAATAGGTAATGTGGTCGATTTTTATGGGAAAGAGCATAGACTTGTGTTTTTTGGCCTTTGCTTCAGTAGGATTGGTTCTTTTGCAGTTAATCTGCTGGACTTAAATGATACTAAGTTTTTTTTAGCAGGCACTCGGATAAGATTGTCATTGACTTGACAAAGCAGACACAGATTGAGGCACATGTTTCAGGGGCTTGGCAGCAATAAATAGGGCATGGTGTGCCTTAGAAGAATATATGGGAACTGACTGAAGGTAAAGAAGGCAGTGAAGATGGAGGAATTCTCTTCAAACTGAATTTTATTTTGATCATGTTGATAGGACACAATTCTAGATAGAATAGTAAAAAGAAAGGTTTAAATACATGTAAAAAATTTGTGTTGACAAATTATTTTTGATAGCTAAGATAAAATAATTGGTTACTGCCACATCAGAGAGTTGCACTAGTATACCAGTTTGATTGCTAACTACGCCTAGCACATTTTACAGAATTGTTAAGGACTTGATTTCAAACCATCTGCCAGGCCACATACAGTTTCAATTTATCTGGCAGCTATTCTGTTTTAAGTGTATTTTTTACATTTTTAGATTTTTTTTTTTAGTATTTGTGAGCAGTAACCCTAATGAATGCAAAATGGGGGAAATAAAGAAATTCTTGTCTGGTATTTTAGCTTTCATTAAATAAAAGGTACCAAAGTGTTCAGATAATGTGTTTTAAACAAACCATACTTGATTGATAACTTTCCCCTTTTTTGGAAACATGTATGTGTCCTATTAATTGGGTAGATTTGTAAAATATTCCTTATATATACAGAAAGGGTGGTTAGAACACAGATGTTGATTTTGGTGTAGAGGGGATAATGGTTGCATTTCCTAGGTTTATATGAATTTAAGGGGTGTATGCATTTTGAACCAATCTGCTAATAAAGAGAAGGTTGCTGAAATCTATTATTACCTAGGTATTTTCTAGCTGTTTAGCTTATGTTGTTAAATCTTCATATAAAGAGTGTGTCTCTGGCAGATTTGGTAAGTAGACTGCTAAGTTCATTTAAATAATGTTACTGTATATGTAGTTTATAGAAATTGTTCATCTTTTGTGTGTAGGAAAGGATGAGAAGAACTGGGGTGAAACAAGAGCCAAATTAACTTGTACTGAAAGAAAGGGTATTTTTGTTTTCTGTTTAAACTCTATCTTCTTGGTAAAATTTCTTCAGGAAGAAAGCTTGGCATTTTGGGGCAGCTGTTTTTACCATGTAATGCCAAAATACACTTAATTAACACCAGCCTTGAATGTACTCAACAGCAGGGCTTTTCTAATGGGGTTTTACTCTTTGTCTTTTAAAGTACAAGCAGCATTTGACCAGTTTCCAGTGCTCTTGGCATTTTGTTAAAAGAACAACCACTAAAAAAGAAAAACTGTATATAATTTGGTTATTCTCTTTTGTTCTGCTTCATAAATGCTTAAGAACTTCTTTTGAAGACTGTTCCTACCTCATAGCTAGTCAAGATCTTGTGATGATCAACCTATTCCACATAATATTTTTGGAAAACATACATGAAAATAAAATGTATGTACATCTTGGCCATGGCTATTTAGAGGAACAGAAAAAGAATTGAGAATTATATGTTCCTGACATGGGTATGTTAGAAGAGTACTATATAAGAGTTTGAAATATTTAAAAAGTGCTGGCTAATATTTAGTTATTTCTCTTGATAGTTTTTGCTATTCACTTTTTATGGCAATTAATCCAGTGAAACACTCAAAATGTTTTTTTGGTGTGTGTTTTTGTTGTTTTTTAGTGGTGTTTTTCCAGATAAATTCTAGGGGTAAACCTTTACATAGTCACAAATATGTAATTCTGTAATTGTGGAATACTTGTATGCTTTGTTTGGTACATCTTCCATGGAGATGTCAATGAATATACTACTCCATCTGTGAATATTTTAAATGTTGAAATAAAATATAAGAACTGTGCCTATGTGTCACCCCAGTCTCACACGCCTGGACATGAATGGCTAAGCTATCTGTTGAGTGGGCTTTGTTAACAAATGGAGTGCCTTCTGTGTGAGTGCTTCTGGAATGTGAATTCGCCTTAGCACGCTAAGTCTTCTGAGGACCCCTGGACTGAACATTCTCCCTGGCCCAAATGGAAAAATGCAAATACTAAAGTGTACACAGCCTCCTTTTTTTCTTTGCCCTGTGAATGTTTTGCAGTCTGACTAGGCCTTGGTATACTTAATTGTATAATGGACTTTGTATTTCAAACTTATATTTTCATTTATAAAGTATCTGTTTCTCCCTTCTTGATTAGTGCTTTTGCTTAAGTTATATATTGAGGTCTCTCATAAAGTTCTGTTGAGGGAAACTTACACTGGGATAGAAAGATCCATGGAACACTACTTACGACTCTTATTTTGCTCCACCTGGTCATCCGTAAAACATATTGACTCAGAAATTCAGTCATGAAAAAGAAAAAAACAGTACTTGGAATCACTGACTTCACAATTTTATATTAGGGCTCAAAGGTGTAATGGGGTGAGAAAAGGAGTTTGAAAAGCGTGAAACTTTTAAAAAATTATATAGAATTATTTACTGTATAACAGTTCATCCCAGACTCATTGTCCATCTGAGTAAAAGATACTATTACAGAGGACTCCCACCTCACTTTATAGAAGTCCGTTACAGAGTTCAGACCTGAGGCGTGCTTTTTACAACCTTTTCAGTCCTAGGTTAACAGTGACCTACAGTTTCTGACTCAAGTGAAACACTAAGTTCTCTTCTCAGTTCACTCTTCGGTTTTTGAGAGTTTTAAATAGTGTATCTTTCTGCTGGATAACTTACTTTAGACCGGAAATTATTTATACTACTTCCATTTTCTTCCAGAATATAACTCACTTATCCTGAATTTCAGCAGTTGGATAATACACCTACTGTAACCTTTCTTGGTAAGAAAAACACTGTATACAAAGTGCTTTTCCTACTGTCCAAGTCAGAACTTAACTAAAATTGCATTTGTAGTAGCTCATGGGCCTTGGAAAGTGATGTGAAATCCCACTTTGGAGTGTTTCGTAATTAAGCCCGAGTCTTCTGATAGCTCCCACTCTGGCTTTATTTTCCAAAGAAGTAGTTGTTGGAAGTGGTACAGAGAACTCCAGTACATCGCTTCCCTCAGAGACCCCATTACATTTTGCCAGTTCCAGTAATGTCTAGAGCAAAAGCTTCCAACTCACTTAGATCTTAAGTCTGACACAGTTCTTCAGTTTTTCCTTGACTTTTACAACCTTGACATTTCTGAAGTTTGGTCATTTGTAGGTCACTGGTGATGTTGACAAGGGCTGGGAAGGCGGAGTCTGAGCGAGGAGAGGAGACTCAGCAGCTTGCTGGTGAGGGATGAAGAGAAATGGGATGGCAGCCACCGGAGGATGTTGGATCCAAGGATGGGTGTGTGGCAAGCACTGTGACATCTAAGTGACAGTGCACATTGGCTTAAATTTAAATGGACGGTCAGCTATGGTTTCAGTCACGTGTGCCACCTGAACCATGAGGACTTCTAATAATTTTAAAGAAAAACAGACCTGTTTTACTCCATTGTAACATCAAGAATCTGATCATTTTGTTTCTCAACTACTTGTCCCTCCTGCAGCTGAGCCCCTCGAGTTTAGACCATGGACTTGTCCGACAGTGCACTTGGGCAGCTGTGCACTTGGGCAGCTGTGTGTGCTTGGTGCAAGAGCCAGTCGTGAGCCTCTCGTTTGTGTTTTGAAGTGTGAGCTTTGTTTCCTCTCTTCACTGTGGGCCTTGGAAGAGGAAAATGAGCGAGAACATTTTCATTCACACTTCAGTGATACAAAAGGATGAAAGGGTAGTGAGAAGCCATCCAGCAGAAATATGAAGATTTTGAGAGTTATGTAGATTTTAGCCTCAATCCAGGATCAAAAGTATCTCCTGGTGTTTGGACTTGAAGACTAACCCTTTATATTATTGATTGAAAAATAATTAATTTCACAAGGCCTATGGTTTTCCTTAAAAGTCTTTATTCAGGAACAAATGGCTTTTGGTATCCAAGTACTCATAAACACTTCTTTTTTTGATCTTTGCCTTTTTTCACAGCCTTTAGAAAGAACAGAACATTTTCAAATCATTGAAGTCCAGTAACACTGGTTCTTGAATTTTTAAGAAGGGAAGCTAATTACTTACTGTAAGGTCTTCAAAGCGGTGTTGTCCGCAAGCCGTTGGAAAACCGCCTCCAAAGGTGTACAGGATCACTTTAAAACATTTAAAAATGCTTTGAGGTCTGGGTTTGGCAACCTTTTCAACTCTAGCAGTCTGCATGGGGAAAAAAGCAAGTATCTAACTCCTTTAAGTACTGAAAAGGATTTAGGTTAGACTCACCTTTGTAATTTTTTATCTTGAGAAAGGCAGAGAAGCACTGTGCTGTAAGTTCCATAAGAAGGTTTCTTACTGTTCACATTGTATAGCTGGAAATTGAGGTTTCCAGAGAGTAGTTGCCTTACTTGTAGCAACACAGCAGAAATAATAGAAATCCACATCTGGCCAACTTGAAAACCTGAGACCATGTTTACCTCACTGTGTTCCAGGCCTTGAGCACTGGCACAGTTCTCTCTTGGCTCATCGATTTAGCAATGCACTCTTATCAAAGTAACACACCCTGATTTTCACTGGCATCATAAGCTAGGGCTAGGTCTGACCCAATGACTCTTGTTCAGAATTTCTTAAAACCATGTCACCACCTTCTAGCAGCAGTGGGAAGGGCAGTTGTCCACACCTGCGTCCCCAGCACAGGGTTGCATGCTTGGGTTTGGTGACCCTTATCAAGGCCAAACTCTAAGAATGTGTTGACCTGTTTAATTTTGCCACTGCCCAAAATTCCTGAAATAGAGGTAGGTTGAATTATTCTTTACTTA